CCCTGGTGGGGAGTCTATGTTGTCTTTGAAGTAGCTAAAGTGAGTATACCACATCCAGCCTTAGATGTGAGAGGTGAGACAAGGATGGAGGGGGTATTTGAACAGGTGCAGCAGCCACATTGAAATTAGCTGGCTAGTGCCTCACTGGAAAGGTGGGTGAGCCTAGGCTAAGTGACTGCTACCCTTACCATGGCTTTCTAGAGCGTGAAGAACTTTTTTGGGGGTGGCCATGTGTGAGATGCTTCTGGGACTGCCTGGCAGCACCCTTACTTCCTCAGAGAGCATCAGAAGCTACAGGGACATATTGCTGCTCACTGTCCCCGCCAAGGCCCAGCTCAGGGGCCAGGTGGAGATCAGGTGCCTGGGGGTCTGGGTGTGTGTTTGTGGGCTGTGTTCATGGGGTGCTGGGCTTTGTGCCCGCGCCCTTACCGTCCTCGGTGGGCACGTAGAGGTTGAGGTACAGGCAGTCCTCGCTCTGGTTCTGCACGTAGGTGGCAGCCGCCTCCAAGTTGTCGGTGAACCACACAGGCAGCATGATGGCCGGCAGCGCCCCGTGCAAGTTCTGCGGGCAGGCGGGCGGCAGGGTGGTGGCGTTGCGCACGCCGGGCCAGGAGGCGGGTGCCTCGGGCGGCTGGAAGCGGCGGGCGCCCAGGGGCGGCGTGGCGTAGGGCACGCCCAAGAACTGCACGACTGGGCCCAGGATCTCGTTGTTGAGCTCGCGCCGCACACCGCGCACTCGCCCGTAGGCCGTGTTCACCACTGGGAAGCGCTCCTCCCCGAGGCTGCTGAGGCCCAGGCCCGGGCTGCCAGGGCCGCCGCCAGGACCCCCTCCCCCCCGTTGAGCTCCCGCCAGCCCCACCAGACACAGCGCCAGGAGCCACATGCTGATCGGGGACCCTCCCTCCCTCCCCGGGACCCCCCCCTCGGAGAGAGAGAGAAGGGGGGGGAGAGGGAGGGAGGCCCCCTCGCCCCAGGGGGCAAGAGGGGGCAGGGGAAAGGAGGGAGGAGGGGCGTGGGGAGGGACCTGGGTTAGACGGGACAGAGAAGGGGTCTGTTCCTCTCCATGGAGGGGGCAAGGGGTGGGGAAGGGGAAGGAGGTGGGAGAAGGTGAAGGCAGGCCCGACCTGCAAGAGGCAGAGCAGAAGGGACAGGGTGCAAGATACAGACAGACAGACAGACAGACAGATAGACAGACAGACAGACAGACAAAAATAGAGAGAGGTGAAAGAGGGAAGGGATGTTGGATGGGGTAGACAGAAAGGAGTGGGGAAACAGAAGAGACAAAGTGGTTAGTGACTTGGATTTCAGACCAAGTTGCCCCACTTCTTCCACCCACAGGTCCCCGCATCCCACCTCCCCTCAGTAGGGACCCAGGCTGGGGGAGAGGTAGATGTGGTAAATGTCCAGGATAAATTCAGAGAGGAAAGGGTGGGTCAGTTCCCCAAATCCAGCAAGCCCCTCTCCAGACTACCAACCCTCCCAGGCAGGCTCTCCCCATGGACTCTGGAGTCTCAATGCCCACCTCCCTGAGAGAGAATGATATAGACAAGGAAGAGAAAATAAAAATACCAAGTCATTAATTAGCAGGAAGTGGCAGGTTTGTTTATATGTGTTAATTACTCCTGAGCTGTAATTTCATGGCACTGAACCCCCACCCTAGGCCACACTAGGGCCTTTCTTGGGACTGTACAAACCCAGCACCTTCTTTCTCCTTCAAGACACCATTCCCTAAGGATTTATGTAGCCCCAGGTCCCCTTTCTCTTCAGGCATTATCATTTCTTTTCTCAGAAGTTGGGGTGCCTCGAGGTAGGGGTTAGAGTAGGGAGAGGATGCTGGAGGGGCAAATCCAGGGACAGATGCGTGATCCTGCAGCCGGTTGCTGGGCGACAGGATGCTGCCCCGCAATGTTACCTCGGCAACGGGCTGCAGCTTTAACCCTGGAGGGGGGTGTCTGCTGAAAGAGAGGAAGGGGCTAGTTTGCTTGAGGGGTCCATTAAAGGCCTGAGAAGGAGGGCAGAGGTGTGAGTCAGAATGCTAGTTTCCCTTAATCATATAATAGAGAAAGAATAGATGTTGAGGAGGGGAATCTGGGGGCACCTAGAATCCTAAAAGATCCGCCTCTTGCCCCCTTGTTAGCCAATCAGATTCTAGCCCTAGTGACCAGGCCTCTGGCTGGGAAGAGGGGGTTCTGAGGTAGCTTGGAGAGGTACCAAATAAGCCCCCTCCCACAGTCTTGAACAGCCTTGTACTCTAGATACCTCTTCTTTCAGGGCATTTTGACATTTGTCCTGGGGGCAAACCTCAGCTCTCTTCCCTCCAGTCTCATGCTGTCCCATTCCATGCCATCCCATCCTTTCACCTCCCCTTCCCCTTGCCAGTCCCCTACCATTACTACTGTGATGCCTGGATGCTCAGGGCAGTAGGGGCAGGACAAGAGAAGGGATCAGACCAAAGGGGCAGGCAGGCACCCAGGTCATTTTAGTAACCCCCCCCACACCCCCACCAGCAGCCAGAGCTGTTTGCTGACGCGGGGTTTTCAGAGCCAGGCGCCAGCCCGCGGGTGGCTCTCTGCAGGTGTCAATTTATTCCAGAGATGAGGACACAGGAATCCTTACCACTCACACCCAGACACCCTCCCCCTCTTCAGATCTTCTTAAGCTCCTGCTCCCTCTCACCTGGAGGGGGCTTGGAGTTGGCTCCCCCAAGACCTTTTCCTATGGCAGGCTAGGTTCAGTCACCATGGCCTTGCTGCCTCCTCCCCAATGGCCTGCCTCAGTCACCCCCTCTTTTTTAGGGTTACTAGGCCCCTGGCCTCCTCCCCTCCAAGCAGCTCCTCTCCCTTCTTCCCTCCTACGAGAGCCCCTCCATCTCTCTCCCCCATTGCTCCCTTGGAGCAGTTTTCTTCTTGGCCTCTTCCAGCTTGCTTTAGCTCTTGCCTTGTCTCTTACCCCTGTCTTTTTTCGTCTCTCTTACATCTCTCTCCTTGGTGTTTCTCATGTCTCCTCCAAATACCTTCCCCAATTTTCTCCCTTAAGCTCCCTCCTTCTCATATCTCTGTCTCTCTCCCATCTTTCTCCATCTCTGTCTCCCCCATTTTTTCTCCCCATTTCGGTCTGCCACATCTTGCTTCCCCGTCCTTCTCCCCATCCCTTTGCCTTGCTGTCTCCATTCCAGCCCAGGCCTGACTCCCCCAACCGGTAGAGATGAGGGACGGGGGCTCAGGCCGCAGCCCCCCCCCCCTTCCCGCAGTGGGGAAAACGGCTTGGCCAGGAAGGGGAGAAGGAGGGGGAGGGGGAGATGGGAACACACGGGGTCTGTGGGCCCATTCAAAGGATCATTCATGGACTGGAGAGAGGCAGAGACAAAGAGACCAAGACGCAGAGACACGGCGAAAGCATCCCTAGGCGGAGACACGCAGACAGAGCAGACTGGGGGAAACCAGGCGCAGGAAGGAAGATGGGGAGAGGGAGACCCCAGCGGACCGCCACGTAGCCCCCTCCACCCAGCCTGGCTTAGCTCCTACCTGGCTCAGCCCTGGGGCCGTGGTGCCTCCATCCAGGGCTCCGAGTAGGGGGCCGACGGGCTTCGGGAGGGGGGCGGCGGCCTCTGAGCCCCCGCGGCCCCGCAGGCCCAGCCCCCGCCCGCAGAGCCTCACCCGGCGGGGGAGGGGGATCGCCCCAGCCCCGGGGGGCGGGGCCGGGATCCAGTCGATCCCTGGGAAAAGGAGAGCTAGGGGATGGGATCAGGGAGTGCCTGAGAAAGGGGAACCCCACAGAGGGGACGGCTGAGCAAGGAGGGGACGACGGGACAAGACTGGACTGGAGATCCACTGGCTCCGTGGCCTGGCTTCGAGGGACCAGAAAGCGGTCCAGGCGGAGGATCCTAAGGGATCGGGTGCTGAAGGAGGAGTCCACGGCAATCCCCAGGGGCTCAGGGCCCCCGCAGCGCAGGATCCGCGGTGCAGGGGCAGGGATCCAGCCGGAATCCTCAGGGAGGGGGAGGGATCTAGTCGATCCCGAGGGCGGGCGGGAGGGGGAGTCCGGGGAGTCAGAGGAGGACGGGAGCTGTGCCTGAACCCTCGAGGCAGAGGTCCGCGCGGCTTCTCAGAGGAAAGACTGGGGTAGGGGGAGGCTTCGGGGAAGTCTTAGCAGCCAGGAGGCCCGGACTCCTGGCTCCGCTCGCCAGGGCCCGCCCGCCCCGCGTCCATCCCAGCCCGAGAGTGATGATCCGCCGGCGGAGCAGCCGCAGCAGCCCCGCGCGTCACCGCGCGGCCGCCTCCCCCGCCCCCTGCCGAGAGAGCGGCGCACACCCCTCGCTCTCCCGCCTGCCCGACCGCCCTCCCGAGTGTGGGGCGATTGGAGACAGTGGAAGGGGGTGGGAGTGGACAGACGGACGGATGGACGTAGGCAGCCGGGGCAGGATGCAAACGTTCCCCCGGATCTCCCACCCTCTGGGCTCTCGGGGTCTGGGGGTGGGGGGAGAGGAGCCGCACTAAAGGGGCCCGAGCATCACACGAAGAGGGCGGAGCCTAGAGACTTGGAGGAGGAGGCAAGTGGCAAACTAGGCGGAGCTTAACAGAGATGGGTGGGGTCTGGTGTCCGTGGGACCGCCTCTTCTTGGGAGTGGGTTTGGTTAGAAGCAGAGCGGGAGGAGCCTATGGGGAAAGGGGCGGAACTTTGCGTGGGGACCAGGATCGTTGGAAATTAGCCAGAGGTGCAGGTGGGGAGGGTTCGAAGAGGCGATCAACTTAGAAACTGGGCCAATCCGTGACGCAAATCCTCTCGTCCCGCCTCCAACCCCGCCCCCCACTGCGCCGCTCTTTTGCTGCTAATTGGTTCCAGTTTCTCCGCCCGCCAGACGTCTTCGCCACTCAGCAATGATTTTACAAAGGCGCAAATATCCGTCTTGGGGACCTGGGTTCTGGAAATGAACACGGCCCTGATTGGGCACTTATGTACCTTATTTGCTTGGGCGATTGGGATTGGTTGGTCTCTTGGGTGGCCTGGGCGGTGTTTGTCCAGCATGTGACCATCTACCGCCATGGCCGGGCCAGGAGCTGCTTTCCGTCGCCTTGCTGCCTTGTCAGGAGCTGGGGCCTTGGGCTTGGCCACCTATGGGGCTCACGGTCAGGGACTTGGAGATGCAACTGGGACGTGCAAGGGGACTACTCTGCGGGTCTGATGCTGGGGAGAGCCTACTCGAAGTGCCCCCCAAACGGGCAGTCCTCAGAGCCCAAATCTTTAAATGCCCCTCAGCGGGTCCAGTTGGTTTCCAGTACTATGTATTTCTACTACCACCCGGAAGCCTCCTTGGGGGCACCCTTTCTCGCCAGTGTCCACCTGGTCTCCCGCGTTTGGGGGTCAGTGAGAATTGATGCAGTGTCTGATAACCTTTGCTTCTCTCCACAGGCGCTCAGTTCCCGGATGCCTACGGGAAGGAGGTGAAGTAACTGCGCCGGGGCTCGCTGACTCGCTAGTCTATGAAGGCTCAGAGTCTGGGGTCCTTGAGGAAATGGGGGGCTGGGGGAAATACCAGTTTTGGAGCAACAAATGGCTGCATGAGGGAGGGGCAAACTGAGATTTACGGGTGGGGGCAAGTGGCAAACTTTGATCCTGTGTCCCCACAGAATCTAGTTGCCTGCTTTCCTTACGAAATCTCTCGTGTCTCTTGTCTTACAGCTCTTTGATAAGGCCAACAAACACCACTTTTTTCACAGTCTGGCCCTGTTAGGAGTACCCCATTGCAGAAAGCCCCTCTGGGTAATTTGTCCCCCTGCCTCATCCTGAGAAAGTCCATCCACCTCCTCAGCCTGCCCTGTTCTTACAAGGCCATATTCTGCCTTGTGTCTCCTACAGGCCGGGTTGCTGCTAGCTTCTGGAACCACCTTATTCTGCACCAGCTTTTACTACCAGGCTTTGAGTGGAGATACTAGCATCCAGATGTTGGGCCCAGTGGGAGGGAGCCTGCTTCTCTTAGGCTGGCTTACCTTGGCTCTTTGAAGTTTCTTTTTCGTTACTGAGCTTTTCTGGGTACTTTTGTGGAAAGATGAAACAGAAAGGGAATTAAAAAAGAAAAGCAAATAACTTTGGAGCCTTTATTCATCAAATCAAGCTCTTGGAGAGGAAAGGGTAAGGATTCGAACTTTGAACTCTTTTCTAAGACTTATCAATGAACCTTGCTTCTGGAGATTCTGTTGTATTTAAGGCAACTTGTTACAATATTCTTAAATTGGTGGGCATTAGAGTCATAAAGAATGCTTGAAGTAGCATAGTGGGACAGAAATGCCAATATTTAGGAGGCTGAAGCAGGAGTATCACCATGAGTTCTTGGCCAGTCTGGGCTACATATTGAGACCATGTGTAAAAAAAAAAAAAAAAAATGTGGTATCTAGATGGTACACCCCTGTCATCCCAGCACTCAGGAGGCTGAGTAGGAGGATTGCCCCTAAGTTTAAAGGCAGTCTGAGCTATGTAGTTCAAGGCCAGCCTACACTACAAGGTGAGACCTTGTCTCAAAAAAACAAAAGCTCGGGGGCTGGTGAGATGGCTCAGTGGTCTAAAGCACCTACTTAGAACAAGCTTAACAAAGCACAGGGACTGCAGTTCAAACCCCCAGCAGCACATGCCAGCCAGCCCTGCCCCCTGGTGGGCTGAGCTGGCCACACACACACACACACACACACACACACACAAATAAAATTTAAAAAACTGTAAGAATGCTTGAAGTAATGTAGATTCTTACTGAATCTCTTCAGTGCCTTGAAGTCTGCATCTTAGTAAGCTCATCATGTATTTCTGATCACTAGAATTTGAAAATTACTGTAGGGTAGAGGTTTTCAGGTCTGTCATTCTATCAATTTGTTGCACACCTGCTTTATTTTATTTTTTGTTTGTGGGCAGGTTCTCACTACCCTGCTCAAACTTGTAGTGATCCTCCTGTTTTCAGCCTCCCTAGTGCTGGGATTACAGGCATGCACCACCATGCCCAGACTCCTGGCTCAGTGCACCCGAAGGGCAGGGCTGGCATGGTACCACCAGCGATCAAACTCTGGCCCTTGTGCTTAGCTTAAGCAAGCACTTAGTCCGCTGAACTATCTCGCCAGCCCAACACACCCGCTTTAGAAGTGAAGGTTAAGGAGCTGGTGAAATAGCTTTACAGACTAATGTGCCTGTTTAGGCAAGCACAGGGACCGGGGTTCCATCCTCTGCACCACATGCCGTGCCAGCCCTGCCCCCAGGATGGGCTGAGCCAGCCAGAATCTGGTTGTAGTGGCACACACTTGTAATCCCAATGCTGGGGAGGCTGAAAACAGGATCACTATGAGTCCAAGTTGTGTAGTGAGACACTGTAACAACCAAATACATTAAAAAAAAAAAAAAGGAAGTGAAGGTTAAGGCAAAGTAGGACAGGAAAAGTTACAAAATGCTTTGGGATTTTTTTTTTTTTTCCCCAGAACTGGAGATTGAACTCAGGCCCTTGCACTTGCCAGGCAAGTGCTTATTCTACTGAGCCATCTCCCCGGCCCCAATAATATGGGATTTGAAGCACAAACAGGGACTGGGGAGATAGCTCAGGAGAATAAGTGCTTGCCTGGCAAGCTCAAGGGCCTGAGTTCAATTCCCAGTTCTGGGGAGGGGAAAAAAGCCTCGTAGTACTTGAGATAATCCTTAAAGAGGTTGTTGTGTGAAGGACACTGTGAACAGAGACAGAAGTGGGGAGGGGAAGAGTTTGGGGGATGACATTAAGTTAAGCAGGAGGGGGGTTGACAAAGAGCAGGGAAGGTCAGACTCCTACAGCACAGAACTGGACAGTGTCTAGGAGAGCAGCATTTAACAAGCCAATGTTGATCCTGGGTGTGAGACACATTACAGGAAGGTTCAGTCAAAAGCATGACAAAGCATGGTGGCACACACCTGTAATCCTATCAGTTAGACTGAGGCAGGAAGATCACGAGTTCATGGACTACATAGTGAGTTTACAATCAGCCTGAGCTGTACAATGAGACTCGGTCTCAATACTGCCCCTCCCCCCACATACCACCAATACAGATACTATTGTTTCCCTGATAGAGTTTCTTGTCTTTTTAAACTTTTTAATGTGTTTAGTACAGGGTGTACAGGTCTTACTACATAGACCAGACTCAGTGATCTTCCTGTTTTCAGCCTCCCAAGCGCTGGGATTACAGTCCCAGCACCACCACGCCCAGTCTTAGTTGCTGTCACAGCGCATAGTGCTGGCACCACACACCGGGGATGGAACCCTGGTCCCTGTGCTCTGCCTAAACAGGAGCTTTAGTCCACTGAGCTATATGGCCAGCCCAGAATTTCCCATCTTGCAGTAGAAACATCTAAAGTAACTAAACACACAGATATGTCATTGCAAGTTGTGCTACCTGTTTGAAGGATAAAGAATAGTGGAACAGGGGCTGGGGAGATGGCTCAGTAGAATAAGCACTTGCCTGGCAAACATAAGGGTGTGAGTTCAATCCCCAGTTCCGCCAAAAAAAAAAAAAAAAAAAAAGAATAGTGGAACAGCCCCCCCCCCCCCCATGCACTGAGATAGTGATGTGTTGGTGCATGCCTGTAATCCCAGTGCTTGGGAGGCTGAAAAGACTAGTAGAACAGCTGGGCACTAAAGGATGTCCCCTCTCCTTTGAATGAGAAAGTCTGTTCAAGGAAGTCCTACTGAAGCTGAAATAACGATAAGAAGAGTAGAGGGGCTGGTAAAATGACTCAGTGGTCTAAAGCACCTACTTAGAACAAGCTTAGCAAAGCACAGGGACCGCGGTTCAATCCCCCAGCACCACATGCCAGCCAGCCCCGCCCCCTGGTGGGCTGAGCTGGCCACACAGAGACACACACACACACACACACACACAAATAATTTTTAAAAATTATTTTTAAAAAAAGTAGAAAAAGTGTACTTTAATAGTAAGCAAGAAAAACTGAAAAGAGCATTCAAAATCCTTGAAGTAGGAGCTGGGGATATAGCTCAGTGGCACTGTTCCTGCCTGGCCAAAGTACAAAGTCCTGAGTTCAGTTCCTGGTACTCTACCACCAAAAAAATCTTCCATTCAAGGAGACAAAATTTATGAGTTGGAAGAAGGACAGAACCAATATGGCTGCCATGTAGTGACCAAGGAGTCCTGGATGGCCAGTGCAGGCTTTGCATAAGGCAATAAACTGCTTGGACTCTAGTGTAATAGTAAGAGACTGAAAGGTTTAAGTCTTCCTTTTAACTTTCCATTTGTGTGTATCTTTTGCAAAGTATAATTTGTATAACATATTGAGGACACAATTTTCATGAATGTATCTCTTCAGAAAGTATGGAAGTCCAGGGACAAGTGAATGGATAAAGAAAACATGGCAGGGGCCAGGGAGATGGCTCAATAGAATAAGCGCTTCCCTGGCAAGCACAAGGGTCTGAGTTCAATCCCCGGTTTTGCCAAAAATAAATAAATAAATAAATGAAAACATGGCAATATATGTAGTGGAGTACTCAGTCATAAAGAAGGATAAATCTGAGTCCTTTGTGGGAAAATGGAACCTTTAAACCATAATACTAAGCAAACTAAATCAGACACAGAACTTAAATATTGCATAGTTTCTTATGTAAGAGAATTATAAATAACAAAACAAAACAATGAAACGTGATAGGAAACAGATCTTTTGCAAATGGAAAGAGAATCTAGATAAAAGGAGAGGAGAGAATGGGGAGGGAAAGTAAAAATGATTGATTCAGGGCCCACGAGATAGCTCAGCACACTAAAGCACCTGCTTAAGCAAGTTTAGGCAAGCTCAGGGTCCACGGTTCAATCCCCAGCACCACATGCTGTGCCAGCCCTGCCCCAGGGTAGGCTGACCCAGCCAGAATCCAAGCTGGGCATAGTGACCCATGCCTGTAATCTCAGCACTGTGGAGGTTGAAAGCAGGAGAATCACCACAAGTCAGAGCTGCATAGTGAAACACTGTAATAACTACATTTTTTTAAAAAAGGATTCAATGTATATATGTACCAACCCCATGATAAATATATTATGTATCAAACATATTAATTAAAGAATTGTGGGCAGAGGGCCAGCCAAATAGTTCAGCAGATTAAAGTGCCTGCAAAGAGATGCAAGGGCCGAGGTTTGATCCCTGGGCCTGTTGTGCTGGCCCCAGCTCCAGGTTATGAAGAAGCGGTAATTGAGACTGGACATGGTGGCATGCGCCTGTAATCCCAGCTCTTGGGAGGCTGTAAACAGGAGAATCGCTATGAGTCTGATCTAGTAGTGAGACCCTGAGCACCCTGTAGACTCTTCCCTAAAATACCAAAAAAAAAAAAAAAAATTGTGAGCAGGCCAGATAGCTCAGCAGACTAAAGAGCCAGCTTAGGCAGAGCTCAGCAGCTGGGGTTTGATCCCTGGTGTGCTGTGCTGGCCCCGCCCCTGGGGTATGCTGAGGCAGTGATTGAGACTGAGAATGGTGGCATGTGCCTGTAATCCTAGTGCTTGGGAGGCTGAAAACAGAATCACTATAGGTCTGATCTACCTAGTGAGACCCTGTACACCCTGCCCTAAATTCATTAAAAAAAAAAAAATTGTGGTGGCTGGCAAGATAGCTCAGTGGACTAAGCACCTGCTTAGGCGTGCATGGGGGCCTGGGTTCTATCCCTGACACTGCACTGGCCCCACCCCCGGGCATGCTGTGCTGGCCTCCCAGACCAGGTGTGGTGGTACATGCCTGTAATCCCAGCACTGGGGAGGCTGAAAACAGGAGGATCACTACAAGTCCAAACTGCTTAGTAAGACCCTGTACCAAATACATTAAAAAAAAAAAAAGTGGACCCTTCCTCAAAATGAGAATTTCTGGGTAGTATCATCCAGTGCCATATCTTTATGATCTGCTTTTTTTTTTCTTTTCTTTTCTTTGAAATAGTCTTGTTATTTAGTGCAGGCCAGCCTCAAACCTGAAGCAATCTTCCTGCCTCATTTCCTGAGTGCTGGGATAACAGGCACAGGCCACCATGCCCAGTAAATTATTTTTCAGTTTTTTGTTTTATTTTGTTTTGTTTTCAGACAGGGTCTGAAATAATATTCAGGCTATTCAAAGTGAGTATAAGACTCACTTTGTTGAGTCTTATATTCAGACTCTATGTAGTTCAGGCTAGCTTGGAACTCAAACTCTTGGCGATCCTCCTGTCTCAGCCTTCTGAGTGCCAGGCAGGCGCCACCAACACAGCTTGGAATTTCTATCCATTTTAGATGGCATCTAGGTTACAGGGTGAACAGCCTGGAGGAGACCCAGGCAATGTAGTGACCACCCTCCATGCAATAAGGTCAGTACCTTAGCTTTGGCCTTGACATTTGGCTGGCTCTTGGGAAACTAAAATAAGTAAAGCGTGCTTGATAATTGGTCTCTGTTTTTACTATGGTGATTTTTTTATTTACTTTATTTTATATTTTTGTTATTGGGGATCAAACTCAGGATCTTGCACTTGCCAGGCAGGCTCTTACACTGCTGAGCTATCTCCCTGGTCCTTCTGTGGTGATTTATTAAGTGAAGTATTTAAGTTAGGTTTGATATACAAGTAAGTTCCTGACAGTGAATCTCCATTCTGGGAGAGTGTTAATTTGAATTCATTTGTAAGCTCAACAAAGTGAGTCTTATACACCTTTGACAGAAAGATACAATGTAAAGCATAAAAAAACCCACAAAAATACAGTAAGTCCCCCACTATACTGGACTACAGTACACTGTTACTGTTGCACCGTACAGTAAACACACACCATCTAGCAGATGTGTGAGCTACTTCTATGATTTGTTTATGTCTGAATGTTTATGAGGGTCTTTTCATATCTGTGAAAGTTCGCAACTCAAATGTTTATAAATCAGGGACCTACTGTAGTCAGCTGTGGCACAGCAGGGTAAAAAGACTGCAGATTTGAGAGAAAAGAGGTCCTCATACTTTTTGGGGCCAAGGGAAGGAGAAGCCATCTGGGACACATGCGCAGTCCACAGGTGGGAACAAAAGAGGTGGGGGGCTAAGGGGAGTGAAGGCTTTGTTGGGGTTCAGAGTGTTAGCTGTTCACACAGGTTCCCGTTATGGTGGGATTGATTAATTTGAAGGAAGCACAAGTTCTAAGGCAGGGAATTCAAGGGTTACATTTTGTATACAAATTTGGGTTTAAATTTGTGTTCATCAAGTTTAAAAGTGAAAGCTGGGCATGGTGGTACACACCTGTGGTTACTCAGCATTCAGTGAGCCTGGATTTTATAGTGAATTCAAGCTCAGCCTGAGATACCTAAGGAGACTGTCTCAAAAAACAAAAACAATGAAGCAAAAGTGAGGGAGTCATGCTTTTGGGGTACGGGCTTTATCTACCCAGAACATATAACTGGGTGGAAAGCTCAAAACACACAGGTCAAGGGTGACAAGCCAAGGTCAGAACAATAGGATGGATATCAAGGGCTGGAAATGTAGCTCTGAGAGAATGCTTGTTTAGTATGTGCAAGACCCTGACTTTGATCCCTAGCACTACAAGGGGGAGGGGAAAAGCCACTGCCAAACTGCATTAATATGAATGAGTTATGATAATTGAACATTGTGTCAGGTTTTCTTAACATCCCTGCAAGTTTGTGAAAAGGAAAGCTAAGAGAAATTCTGTATTATGCAGCTAGGACCTGAGTAAGCTGTGAATAAAATTCTCTAACTCACAGAGCTAAATTCTTTTCTGTAAACTAAGAAATTCAAATTTCAGCAGTAAAAATAGACACTAAAAAGATCATTTGAAGCAGAGTATGGTGGTGCATGCCTATAATCCCAGCACTTGGGAGACTGAGGTGAGAGGATTGCTGCACATTCAGGGCCAGCCGGGACCATATATAGAAAGACCCTGTCAAAACTAGCCTGGACCATATATAGCAAGACCCTGTCTCAAAAAGAAGGAAAAGAAAAGAAAAATCATTTGAAGTCGGGCATGATTGTATACACCTGTAGTCTCCTCCCCCGCTTCATTTTTATGTATTTGGTACAGGGTCTCACTATGCAGATCAGACTCATGATCCTCCTATTTTCAGCCTCCCCAGCTCTGGGATTATAGGCATACGCCACCACACCTGGACTCAGTCATGGGCTCAGCACACCCCAGGGGGCAGGGTTGCACTTGCCAAAGCAGGTGCTTAGTCTGCTGAGCTATCTGGCCAGCCCTACACCTGTAATCTTAACAATCTGAGAGACTGAGGCATAAAGATCACAAATTCAAGTCCAGCCCCAGCAAGTTATTGTTTAGAGAGACTGTCTTAAGCCATTGGGGGGGGGGGGCACAGGGAGATGGATCAGTGGAATAAGCGCTTCCCTGGCAAGCACAAGGGCCTGAGTTCAATCCCTGGTTCCACAAAAAAACCCAAAAAAACATCTGGTAGTCAGATGTGTGAGGCTGAGGCAGGAGGACTGAGTTGGATGGAGGCCAGCCTGGACTACATACAGAGCACATCTCAATCCCTACTCCAGGGGTCAGGGGGTGGGGGAGCAGAGAGGGGAGCTCATTTGATACCAGACATGATGGTGCATGCCTGTAATTCCAGCACTCTGTAGGCTGAGGCAGGAGGATCACCATAAGTTCAAGGCCACCCTGGGCTACATAGTGAGTTCAAGGTCAACCTGAATTATATAGCAAGCCATTCTGCCTCTGTATTTCCGGCTTGCTTATCTCATATAAGCCCTAGACCACCACAGATCAGGGCCTGATACTCTGGAAATGATCTTGATCAGTGCCCATCAATGTAAATCAATCTGCCAGGGCCCGGAAAGATGGCTCAGTAGAATAAGTGCTTCCCTGGTAAGCGCAAGGGCCTGAGTTCAATCCCTGGTTCGGGAGGGGTGGGGGGAATCTGCCTCCAAATCCTGGGTGTTGCTTCAATGTTTCTGCTTGCCATTGCAACGTACCAATCCAATCCCTAATGTCACATCTGTGGAAATCATTATTAATCCTTGGAAGTCTTGACAAAACAAAAAGGTTATTTGATTCAGTGTGTTCAGACTTAAAAGTAGAGGTAGGCAGCCAGGCATGATGGCACATGCCTGTAATCCTAGCACTTGTGAGGCTGAGGCAGGAGGCTCACCATGAATTCAAGGCCAGCCTGGGCTACATAAAGGAGTTGAAGGCCAGCCCGCCCTACATACTGAGACCTTGCTAAAACAAAACCAGGAGTAGAGGTAGGCTTGTTTTGCTTTGGGGGGCTGATAAATCTTCAGTCCATTTGCTAGCCATTAGCATGACTAGGAATTCACCAGGAAAAAGAAGACTATAAGGAGTCAAGAGGAAGGACAGGGGGCCGGGGAGATGGCTCAGTGGAATAAGTGCTTCCTTGGCAAGCTCAAGGGCCTGAGTTCAATCCCCAGTTTCACGAAAAAAAAAAAAAAAAAAAAAAAAAAGAGGACGGAGAGTAGGATAGCTGAAGCCCAGGGATGGGTGGGCAGACAGGCAATGACAGCACGGTTGGGGCTTGTGCAATAGCAAACAGATTTGGAGGCAGATTTAATTACATCAATAGGTACTGGGCACTGGCTGGGATCATTTCTAGACTATCAGGCCTGTCTAGGGTTTCTGTGAGATAAGCAAGCAGGAAGTATTGAGGCAGATGGCTTGTCAATTGGGGATCGCTTTATACAGTGTGCATCATACTAGCCAGCCATTTATTTTCTTTGTTTTTTGGGGTTTTTGTTTTGTTTGTATTTCAGGAAAGGGTCTACAGGGTGTTCAGGGTCTCACTACTAGATCAGACTTGTAGTGATACACCTATTTACAGCCTCCCAAGAGCTGGGGTTACAGGCGCATGCCACCATGTCCAGTCTCACCCAGTCTCAATTGCCATCTCAGTGCACCCTGGGGCGGGCCTGGCACAGCAGGCCCGGGGATCGAACCCCTGGCACACTGAACTATTTGTTGTTGGGGTTGTTTTTTTTTTTTTTTTTTTTTTTGCGGAACCGGGGATTGAACTCAGGCCCTTGTGCTTGCCAGCGAAGCACTTATTCCACTGAGCCATCTCCCCAGCCCAACACACTGAACTATTTGGTCGGCCCTTCTGACCAGTCATTTCTAAGAGACAGGAGCACCCAGAGGTGGAACAGGAGCTATTATCTGGACAGCTAACAAACTGAAGTATACCAGCTTGGGGGGGGGGGGCGCATTTTCTGCTACCTTGCACCGTGCAGAAGGGCCCCTCCTGAACCAATGGTGAATTCTCTTTGAATTTTCTTTTTTTCACAGTGTCCAAGGTATAAAATCATGTTGGCCCAACTGCATATCTGGAAGCTGATGATGATTTATCACCACCAACACTGCTGTCACTCTGGTCTCCGGTCCAAGCCATCATCATACTGTACCTAGATTGTGTTAAGAACTTTCTCCCTTGTGTATGGTGTGATCCCAGCATGCAAGAGGCTGAGGCAGGAGGATTGCTGCATGTTTGAAGCAAGCCTGGTCTACATAGTCCAGGCCAACCTGAACTACATAGACCCTGTCTTAAAAAAAAAAAAAAAAGTCTTCCCTTGCTGGATGTGATGATGCGCACCTGTAATTTCAGCACTCAGGAGGCTGAGGCAGCCTCCAATTCAAGGCTGTATAGTAAGTTCAAGATCAGCCTGTACTGCATCTAGAGGCTCTATCTTAGAAATAAAAACAAAACCAAACAATCAAGAAAAAAGAACTTCCTCCTACCTTTGCCTATTTAGTTTACTTACTTTCTTGTCTTAGAAACACAATACTCAGTACAATTTAAAAGAGTGAAGGTTTGCTTTGGCTCACAGTTTGCAGAGGTTTCAGTCCGTAGTTGGCTGGCAGGGTTGCATGGCAGAGGGGTATGGCAGAGAGGTTTGCTCATGGGATGACAACCAGGAATCAGAGTGGGATTAAGGGAGAAGGGAGGTAGATAGACTTCTAGGCCATAGCCCAGGGACCTTCCTCCTCCAATTAGACTTTACCTCCCAACATTATGTTTAGCTACAAACTGATCTGCAGACCAATCCACTGATGATTTTCACACCTCCATGATCCAATCACTTCCAAAGAGCCCCAACCATGAACATATGAAGCTTGGGGTTCTTTTAAATATAAACCATAGGCCAAGAGTAACAGCACATACCTGTAATCCCAGCACTCAGGATGAGTCAAGAGAGGCCTGTGAGTTTAAGGCCAGTCTAGGGTACTTAGCAAGTTCAACGCTAATCTGAACTACATAATGAGACCTTGTCTCAATAACAAACTAGGCCCGGGAGATGTCTCAGTGGAATAAGTGCTTTCCCTGGCAAGTGCAAGGGCCTGAGTTCAATCTCCAGCTCCACCAAAAAGAAGAAGAAGCTAATAAAAAAAGTGGTGCCAGGTATCAAAAAACAAACTAGGGGGCTGGGGAGATGGCTCAGTGGAATAAGCGCTTCCCTGGCAAGCGCAAGGGCCTGAGTTCAATCCCTGGTTCCAAAAAAAAAAAAAAAAACCACACACAACAAACTAGATCTCCAGTGTGCTGTGCCGGCCCCACCCCCAGGGCACACTGAGATTGAGACTGGGCATGGTGGTGCATGCCTATAATCCCAGTGCTTGGGAGGCTGAAAACAAGGACCACTACCAGTCCAATCTGGGTAGTGAGACCCTGTAGACCCTGTACTA